TAAGCGCGGGAACCCGGCAGACTTTTGTCTTGTCTCTCAGCATATCTTTATGCCTTCGCTTCTCCGTTTCTCTTCTCCGACTCTCTCACTGTCCCATGTCCCTCTATGTTTCCGTCTCTCTGTCTCTCCCCAACTCTCTCCTCGTCTCCGCTTTCTGCCTCTGCTATTCCGTCCTCTCCTCCCCTTTTGTCTTTTCCTGTTTGTTCTCGTTCTGCGTCTACGGTTGTCTTCGTAGGTCGGCATCTGTGACCCCCTTCAGTCTCTAATCTGTACCTGTCTCTTACGGCCTTCATTTCGCATCGGGGCAGGGACGAGCCTCTTAATTCTTCAAGTGCTCGCGGGCTGCGTATAGTGCGTGCGGTAGAGAGCCTGAATAGACGGTGCCCTGGGTCATGTCCTGGGTCAGCATAAACTCATCATCAACGTTCGTCTACGTGCGCAGGATGCACATTCCAATCGTATGCCTTCCCACAAGTGCACGCAATAAGTTGATAAAGTATTTTCGCTATCGGATGAATAGTACAGCAGCGCATTAAGTACGAACCAACCAACTAACATAGTCTTTTATATAGAAGATATCATCCAGTCATCACAATGTTTAGATATTTTTCAAATATGAAAACACTCATATTATATCTCTTTTGAAGGTGTAATAAATTCTTGTTATAGAGACTTATTAAACTAAACCTACGTACTTTGTTGTATATATCGCATATATGTTAGTATATTTGTTTCATTACATAACACGATATTGCATTGCAGCGCTGATGGGAATTACGAGGTGACTTTGATGACCAAGGCCACGTTGAAGTACAACGGGGAAGTAATGTGGAAACCTCCAGCAATCTACAAATCTTCCTGTGAGATCAACGTTAAGTACTTTCCTTTCGATGAGCAGAGCTGCACTATGAAGTTCGGTTCCTGGACATATCATGGGCTTCAGGTGCGACATTTCAATTACTATTTGCAGTATTAAAGAGTGGAATGCATTAATATACTGTTTTGTTGTAACTGTTCATTGTGGTAAGTGATCAATATGCTTAATAATAATTGTTTTAACCAACATTTTCAGCAAATAAAACGAAATAAAATAATAAGGTAACTGAGAAGACTGCGCTTTGCGAAAAGATGAATTGGAATGTTGTAATGTTCCTATAATTATAATTCTGAATTTTAATTTTAACTGAAATTCTAACTTTCATCGATTAAAAAAATTAATTAGAATAGCTTATTTCAGAAACAACATAAGTGAAACAGTAGTAACTTTTCATTTGAGTAAAAAGAAAACTGTAATACTGTACTACTGTACTATAAAATTGTAATACTGTAAAACTGTAATACGACTATGTCACAAATATTGTGGCATTTATTTTTGAATTTCTGTTTAAAAATTACTCCAAAATTGCTTGAATTCAGTTAGTTGCGACTCAAACGATGAATATACTACCTACAGAGAATGACTATACTATGAAGTCAGAATAGCTGCAAAAAATTGCATTGTTAGACGCTGTTTTTGACTTGAGTTGTTTCTGAAATACGCCATTAAAATATTATTTTCAATTGTACAACAAGATAGTGTTGAATAGTGTATGAGAATTAAGATTGTTACACTGCACAAAAGTTTGTCAAATCAAACGGCATCATTATCGTCAATTAAGCTTACGTATACATCATTATCGACATCGTCATCATCATCGTCATTATCATCATCGAGCGTTTTATGTCATTTTACCTTTTGGTTAACAGCTGACGCTCTCTGCCCTGTCAATAACCTAGAGTTCTTTGACTCTAATCTCCAATTCTTAACTCCGCTGTACCTCATAAGTCCATTGCGGTCGAGAACTTAATCCTGCTGCTTGTGGCTCATAAACCCGTGACGGCGTTTGAACTCTTCTGCAGATAGGCGGTTTGGTGACGCTCATATTGTGACCCTTCAATCCCTTAACGGAGCTTTCTCCCTCTAGCACACAGGCAACCACATTCATACGTGACATTCTTACAACATTTAGTCCGATAATGGACTGATAAGGAGTGAGGTATTGATGGTGTTACATTGTGAGTCAAGCCTCACCACGTCATAACACTACAGCAAACATCATGGCCAG